GTGCTGGATGGTGCACAAGGTTCATGAGAAGGCATGACTTAGCACTTCGGCAGAAAACTAAGATTGCACAAAAGCTACCTGCTGGACTAAAAGATAAAATATTACAGTAATTACCGTAATTTGTTTTTTTTTTCTTTATTTATTTAGAGACACTTGGGCTTCTGCTAATAATATGGTATTTTGGACTGTTGTATGAATTTCTGCCCCACGAAAGTGGTATTCATGTAATAGTCAATCCCACAAATTTAATCTTAAAAAAAGTCTAAAAAATTTGACTTTTACACGAGTATATACAGTATGTTAAAATAACACGGGCAGAAATTTAAAGCAAGTGCACCTTCCAGTTCACGAAAAAGATGGTTTCCCCTTGAATTTGTATCCTTGTGAATTGTCCTGATGAGTGTAATACGAAAAATTTGACAAAACGTCTTTTTGCAGCAATAAGTGAAACCCGAGTCAAATAAATTTAGTGTGAAATTCCAATTAATTATTACTATTCAATGGAGTTAAACATTAATGGATGCAAGTACATGGCAAATGCTCAAAAGAAGATTGGCTGACCTGGTGAGTGCATCATGATACACCAACACTAGTATCGAGATAGAATATTGTTGAATCGCAGCACTAAAGCAATCATTTTCCAACTTTCCATTCCCATCAGGGAAACCTGCTTCCTGAAATCACATTGAAAAATGCAGGCATCCACCGCGTGCTGTTTGAGTTATTAATCATAGATAGTGTATTTCAGTTTCTGACATACATTCCTATTAAGCAAAGATTTCTATTCTTAGCCTGCTGAGAAAAAAATGACTCCTTCTAAATAAAGGTCACTTAGTGGAAAGAAGCAGAAATTATTGTTATAAAATGTCAATATTTAGATTGGACAGTGCTGATGAAACATTTTGACGAATACCATTGAATTGGACTTGATAGTCTCAGAATGATGGCAAATGGAGCTCGATGGCTACTTTCCACAAAAAGGAGCATTTAGCTTTATAGGCTTTTGTGTTATAGATGAAGGATACTTTTTATTTGCTGTCGGGACGTGACCATCTCTGGCAAGGTCAATGTTTATTACCCATCCCCAACTCCCCTTGAGAAGTTAGTGGAGAGCCATCTTCTTGAACCACTCCAGTCCACTGGCTCCAGGTATACCCACAAGTGCTGTTATTTATGGAGCACCAGGATTTTGACTTAGCCAAAGTAAAGGCTTGGCGATATAGTTCCAGACCAGGAATGGTGAGTTATCTGGAAGGAATATCTGACACCATTCATATGAGGTTAGGAATCCAGGAGTTATTAATTTTTAAAAAAAAATTAACTCCACAATTGAGTAACTTTCTTTCACAAAGACATTTGCTAGGAATTTCCAGAGCTGTTTTTGTTCTGCTGCTATTACATATGCTAACATTTCTGACAAAGTTACCGCAGGAGTGGGGTAGAAAATGTGATGAAATTCCCAATGATAGGACTCATACTACATACATGATTATGGGCACGAACAATCAGCTCAAAAGGTGGAAGTTAGACAAGTGTCATTGGTATCTAAAATGAGCCCAAATTTGTCCTGAGATAACATCTACATCTGTATATTTTACAGTAAGGGTCACTGGTCAGCAATCAAACTCAGTGGATTGAATCCAATTGTACTGCCATCTGACATTAGTTTGTTGATGTTCCAACTCAACTGTCCATCAATATATCAACTCTATTCCACTACAGGAACTCACACATAATTTTGGATTCTTGTGTTGTATATTCTCTGTCTACTTTTTATGACCAGGATGTTTTGCCATACCTACGCAATCTGAATTCCCTCGGCGTACATTTACATGCACAAATTACTGTTGCTCTGGTCCCAAAACCTATTTTTCTGGGCGATTTTAATCCAGTCCAATGCAGCAGGAAAAATGGTAGCTGGGCCCCAATTAATTGTGGGTGAGATCACACGTCAATCTGCTAGCAACTACAAAACACTCCCTCAAATGATTAAATCAGAGAAGGGAAGGGGCCAATATGAGAAACTGGCCTGTTCATATCCTTGCAGCATCATAGGAGCAGAGAGGCTGACCCTTCAGGTCTAGGCCCGAAACGTCAGCCTCTCTGCTCCTATGATGCCGCTTGGCCTGCTGTGTTCATCCAGCCCTGCACCTTGTTGTCTCGGATTCTCCAGCATCTGCAGTTCCTACTATCTCCGGGTCCCTGGAGCTGTGAGGCAGCAGTGCTAACCACTGAGCCACCATACTGCCCATACATGCTGTCTGCATAGTTGTCAATGAGAGTAGTCTGAGCTCAGATGTGATGCTTTCCACAGTCAGACTGCCTGCTGGCTCTAACTGTACAGGCCAATTATTACTGGGGCTATTAGAGGGACAGCTGCCGAGCGTGAATTGTAGTAAGAGGTAGTAGTTTTAGGAATGTGAGAGATAAATGGCACCATGCAATCTGTCTGGCTATCAGAGAGACGCCCAAGTGCTGGCACTGGTGCTGTGAAATGGAGCTAAGGTTGACTGTGATGATTTGTGCTGAATAGGATCTGGGTGCTCTTGAACTCTCTGCCTTTCCCTTTGTACGGCTGACAAGCTGTGAATGCAGTGCTGAACTCCTGCTGCTCCGAGGCTCTTTCCAGTGGCTCAGCTTCTCAAAATAATTCAATTAATGTCTTAAAGGACAGTGGGCTCTCTTTGGAGAAATGGGGGATTTTGAAGGAAAGGCGTTCAGGGCTCACCCACTGCCCAAGTGTGTGGGTCTGGCCCAATGGTACAAAGATTCACACGAACAAAGTGAATTCAGACACACACAACCCAAGAGGGAAGAGCTTCCAGTTTGACTGTCTCCTGCGGCAACTGCCTGTACAGTCCCATCCATATAAAAATAACACATTTAACTGACATTGACCTAGATTTAGACAACTTACTTCTGTCTTTCTGGCAGAGGATCCAGTTATTCAAACATGGAACTCATTGGGATATGGGTCCAACACACACTGACTCTCACTGGGGTACGGGTCCCACACACACACTGAATCTCACTGGGGTACAGGGTCCCACACACACACATACACACACTGACT